GACTTCAACTCCCAGAATTCCCCAGCCAGCATGGGGGAATTATTGGGAGTTGAAGTCCACACAGCTTAAAGCGGCCAAGGTTGAGGAACACTGACATAAAGGTTACAAATGGAAGATGAGAACATTTCATTACCTCATGGAATTTTACTAATGATACAAGATAATTACACCATTTAAATGGTTAGGACTACCATATTTGCACTGCACAAATCCAGATGACCATTTCATGAAAGCAGGGACAGAATTTTCTGTTTCTTTTTACTGCCATCTAATGGTTATTTAGACATTTGTAGCCCAGATCTAGTAACAATAGAAGCGAATACGTGTAGCTCAGGATTGAACTGTGAAGTCCTTCAGTGCTAGATGTTACCTAGCCAGGTAACGAAATGTTTTCAAGAAAACAACCAAGCTCAGAGAACCCCAAGGACTCCCCAGATCTGGTAAGTCTACTAAGACTCATTTGAAAGCATCCTGAGTAGCAATATACTGTCAATGCTAGAGAAGCAGGACTGATCACTTTGGGTTGGCAACTTTAGCACTATAGTCGGGTAGAAGTAGGGTTCCATATCTTAGCTGTCAAAAGCTGGATGGCCATTAGGTGGCCATCCAGAGGAAAATGGTTAACTCTTTCCTACTATTGGTGGGATCTGTGATCAATCTGATTGTTGCAGTCCTAGTACATAGCTGTTGTACTTTCAAGAAGCCAAACTGCACCTGGGAACAACTCATCTTTACACAACATTAAGAGTAGGCTGAGTCTTTATACTATCCAGTTATTGTAATTTTGTGTTAGGTCTTGAAGGGCTTTTTACTGAAATGGTCAGGCATGGAAAGACATTTTCTTTGAATTTCAGTCGATATTCAAAAGAAGGCATTTCCTTTTGCATTATTTAACAAGAATCATTAGAAAATCTATAATAAAGTAATATAGTAAGTGTATCAATCTAGGTAAAATGTATCTAATGTGTGTAAGCACTAAAATATTTAAGCTACGTGTAATTTTATCTTTCTTTTTCCCCCCATAGACAATAATAGATCATCTACAATATAGCTATAATAATAATAATAATAGTAATAATTCCAGAAGTCTACTAGAAAAATTACAGTAACATCATCAAGACCTATGTTCCTCTCCTAGAAAATGGTGTCTGTATTCAAAGGATCTTGATTTATTATTTTCAGTTATATACAAAATTAAATTAGATGGAAGTTGCAGTTTCCTGCTGTTGTTGAGCAGCCACCAATTAAGAGAGGTTTTGCAAAAGTTGGCAAGCATGAAGCTTACTCTGGAGCCAGCCTGCTTCAGGTATCCCTTAATAACAAGGAAATTCAACAGCAGTGCAGTCTGCAAAATATCCTGCTAAAACATTTGGAAAATACATTAGAAATCTGATCAACAGCTTTTTTTCAGACCCCACCACTTTACACATGGTAAAAAGACATGCATTTTAAAAATTGGAGTTGTAAAATAAACTCTGACTTTTTTCTTATTATGTGTGAAAGGGTATTTCCAGTTCATTTATAATATGCTGATTTCAGCACCAACGCATGTGATTTGTGGAAGTGTTTGTTTTAAATGATGGGTTG